AGGAAATGAAACTAGAGTATGAAAAGAAATTACTTCACAGAACACACCTATTTATCTCGGAGGCAAACTGGATTAGTAGTGAACTAAAACCACAGGCATAAGGTAAGTCAAAATGTAGTAAACTACCTTTTTTCTTATCCCTTACTTTTCACAAGGAAGAGGCAGTGAGGTCAATGAATTAAGGAATATTTCTGCAATGCAGAACAAATTGCATTGCATACTATGAACTGGTCTGAGTACCTACTCAATAAGGCTACTAAAACTCTGGAAAACGGGAATTTGAACACTAGAGTTGGGGGGTATGGTACCAGTTAAAAAAAATATATGAATGCTTCAAAATCCTTTTTATCCACTACAATATGTAAGTAGCGGCCATAATTACCACCAAGAGCCACTAGTCCAGCGCTGTCAAAAGCGGGATGAGTAACAGTGAGTTTAGAGTTATTTTCTCTAAGAACTGCAGATACCATCTATTTGATTACTTGAGTATGAGGAAGATATTCTGTTCAAGCTACACAAAACCCTCTGACTACAGCAGCAACTTCCTGTTTAAACTAGTTTCTATGCTGTACCACTCTCTATACAAATTACATGAAAGAGTTAACAGATCTTGCTGTTTCTATTTGGCAAAATCAACATGGGTAACACACAGGTATATCTGTATTTTATATCAGCCTAGTCATGATAGGTATGTTTTAATCATGAATTTTAACACTGACAAGATGACTGAATAAAACAAAATGAAAAAATTGACATTATTAAGAAACTAAATAGAGTGTGTTGTGACATAAGGCACAGTCTATTCGGGGAAGAAAGATCATTTCCTGTGGAATAAGTGATTTATAGAGTTCTACCAATTAATTTTTATTATGATAATACTATTTAATGGTGATAGCTTAGTGCTCTGAGTACACTCTTGGTGGCTGGAAAGCTAAATATGTTGTCAGAAAGAACTAGGTTTTTTACCAGGATAGATGATCATGTAACATCATTGTTGATGAAATGCACCAAGATACTTCTCGGTTCTCACTCCTTCAGTACTGAAAGGGTGCTGGGTTAGTACCAGAGACCAGAAACTGTGATGGTGAGCAGAGGTTCTTTTCTCCTCCTGGTGGCACAGGCGAGACAGCTAGTATTAGCGTCTCCGACTGAGTTTTCAGCAGTGCATAGGGTTATAGCTTTTAGTGCCTAGCATCCGCATTTGGGTCAGATTTTGCAAGATGCCTATTAGGCAGATGCACACGGATCAGATTTTCAAATGTGCTAATGTCTTTTAGCACCTTAGTGCCTTATGTCAGGTCGTAGATGGGAACCGAGCTTCTCCTAAAAATCTGAGTAGCGACTCCTAAGCTCTTCTGCAACATTTGGCCTGAAGGCACAATTTAGTCCTTACTGATTAGGCAATTTCAAGAAACTGCTCACCTGCAACTCCCTTGTTTAGTATTAACTAAGCCATCCAGGAAAGCATTTTCTAATACAAAAGAGACAAGCAGGTCATCTCTTCTGAGCTGGAGCGTTCGCATGTGCGTGCGTGCACTGGTGGACGCTTCAGATATGTTTTGTAAATATTTCTCCTTCCCTTACACACGAGGAAGTAATTGGTACATGCATGTTTTGGAAACCATTCAAAGTTGATTTTCTGCGTGGGTAAACAAAGTGCTCATTGGTGCCAGCTCGCCTGGAGCTGTGGCTTCAAGGTACCTACCTGCTTCTGTGTAGACAAGGTAGAGAAAGAAGGAAGGAACTTGTGATACTGACGGGACAAGGGCAGTGCCCCCCAGAGAGGGACTTGTCTGGAGTAAGGCTGTATTAATTACTATCGAATCAACGCAGATGTTTGAAACTAACCCAATAAATTCCATATTAAGCACTACATATTAAATCTAAATATTGAAATCAGACCTGCATAGACTTTAATGTACACAGGACTGGAATGTCTATGCAGTTCAGTATTGTGCATATGAATTTACACTTTTCGGATGCTATATGTGCTCCATTCCAAATCTACAAGGTTGATGCATCTTGCATTTCTGGACACTGATAGAAGTGGCATGGCACTGGCCAACCCTGCAAAGGGAACATTTTGGTAATGACTGTCAGAGAATCACCCTGGAAAACAGCTCCTCTTCCCCACCTATTCGACACCAAATGGCAGGATCATCTCAGACCGAGTGCTGCTCAAGTAGACTCTGTAGGCCTAAGGAAAAGTTAGCAGTTGGGGGGTTTTAATGCTCACAATACTGAGATTTGTTGGCCAAAACAAAGCTTGAGGTATTTATCCAAACAAAATACAATCAATATGAAGGCAATCTACAATTTCTTTTCTCCTGCTTCTATACACCAGCCAGGAAAGTACTATGACACTGTATCATAAATCACTAACACAGATACAGAGCTATAAACCCATCTTTTTCTACTGTTTACAGTAGAGTCAACCTGGAAATCTTTCTAGACAGTGCGGATATGGCAAAAACGTCTGAAACACCCAAGATGTCTTATTATACTGCATCCATCCTCTCTACAGCTACAAAAAGGCTAATATATTTTAAACTAGAAAAATAAATAGTGGAAGCTTCGAAAGAAAGCAGATGCAGCAACTAAATATATTAAAATTGAATTAAAATGTGAATTTGCAATGGCATTTTATTTATTTATTTATTTTCAATATAGATGTATTTACATTAATCTGGTTTATAGTTATGTCAAAATAAGCTATTTCTGGGTCTGTCCATTAAAAAAACCCAGACAAAACCTCTAATTTTACTTTGATCTCAATGTTACTTTCATTTCAGTTGCATTTGTAAATTAAAACACTAGGGGCCTGATATTCTTTGATGGGTTGTAATTATGCAGGTGCTGTTTTACACCTACAGGTTAGCGTAGCTACAGCTGATAGAATTTTGGTACCTGCTGCATATACAACCTGAAGCTGAAATACTGAATGTCAGCAGTGAAAACATTCTGTTGAAAGGGAGTCAAACTGCTGGGCTGCTTTTGAACTCCCCCTTGCACTGGTTTCACTTGAAAACAGCGATTTGCTTTATTTTAAGATGAGGGAAGGAAACGTTTTCACTTAAATGTGCCCTGAATTTTAGTATGCTGAATTGTATTCATCTCCAACAGTATCCTGGTTGTAATGCCCAGTGAAGTTAATGAAGCTACAGATGATTCTGATTCACTCTGTGCACAATGTATGACTAAACTTTTTCTGGCAGCAGTATCTTTTATTATTACTTAAACATCGAACATCTCTTTTTCTTGGGAGGGGGGGTAGGGGGGATCGAGTGGTATTTAACACCGTATCTCTATATTCTAGCCCCTTGTCCTTTTTATCAAGTGAACTATAGAAATATTTCTAGTTCAGTCTTTGAATTACAGAGTCAAAATAAATGTGAAAAACCTCCTCAGTTTAGACTCGTAATTCCAGATAACTTTCTTGTTCTGTTCATTAAGCATGACCAATTCTGCAAAACAAAGCCTTGTGGCTGCAAAACACCCTCAAGTGTCTATTTACAATGGCCAAAAATGAGAAATAAATCTTCAATTAAAAATAATTTTGATCTTTGAGGCATTTCAGCACTTTGTTTATTCTGGAAATAAGATCATATTCTAGAACTAAGGGCAGAGTTAGTGGGGTGAAGACTATTTTACAAAGAAACTAACAAGCATTTTGGCTTTGCATCTTTCTGAATGGTATTTCCAATTAAAAATGCTAAATTGCCTTGCAAAGACGAATAGGAAAGTACAACTTCATTGCTGAAAACAATTTCCCTCCTATCAATCTGAGGATTCGGGCATCAATATCGTAGATGAACTGTTAATTACAAAATCAATTAAAAAATTATTTCTAAAAACAGTCACACGTCCTGGCTCTCAAGGGGGCAATTTGGGCAGAAGGTCTCATCTCACTCGGACCGCGCCAAATCACAAGTCGTCATCCACAAGTAAGCAAAAGCAATCTGGTTTTTCATTTTTCAGCGCGGCTGAGCCCAGCCTGAGATTGATCGTCACATATGGCCCCAGAAAACAAACTGTCAATACCTTGAATGCTGCAGAATTTGAACAAATAGCCGTCCGCCCATTCAAGCCACTCATTGCATCCCATTTAACAGATTTTATTGACAGTTTCCTTCTTGTAATTAAAGGGAAAACTACTGGCCAGCAACCAAGATAAAGTTCAAAGATAGGGTCAAAACAAAAGCAGATGGAGGGGCACGGTGTGACTGTCAATGGAACATAGCATCAGAGCATGTTATTGACACACAGGTATCTAATGATCGGCACGTCATTAAAGAGGGATCTATCGTGAACTTTATGCAAATTCTAAAAGGGACTTAAGACCACAACAAAGCATTAAGGAGACACAAAAGGAAAAACAACAAAGCACCAACGATTTTTAGGTATCTGACAGCATTCCCTGCTTCAGCACTTTTAAATTCAAATGTAGGGGAAAAAGGATTCTTTCTGAAATTTTTAACCCTCACCACACAGGTAATAATTTTTGCAGAGGCATCCTCATAAATGTGGAGGATCTGTAGGGTAAGGTGTGGTCCTTGTGAGATTAAAGAAGAATCTCCTCCCTCCTCCCATACCCTGAGTTCACCTTATCAGATAGATCAGTAGCTGCCTTTAAAGAGAATGTATATAGCATATTCTCATGCCTCCTTCCTGTTTGTTTTAATTGCAATGATTAGACTTGTCTGGATTATGGAGTGGATTTAGGAGAACACATCTATATTCATTTGAGGGATCTCTGCCTGTAAAATACTCTTCGAATCATACAGTGCAGTATTCTCCACTCCCTTAGGAACATATTCCGCAATTAGAACCAGAAAGCTCTTAGTTTGAACTGCTGCACGTGTTGCCTTTTAGGCTAAGGTCTGATCAGCAATTTCTTATTCTAACCCCATGTTTAAAACAAGCATGCAGGAAGTATTACAGAGAAAGAAAAGAAAAATGACATAGTAAAACTGTAGCAACCATCATGCCACTCTGCCAACCTGAATTAGCAAGTGCTATAGCTTTGAGGGTGACAAACTCTTCTTTCTCCAGCTTCATACTCTTGTATTTCTTTACCAGCTGCAGTATGGCATTGTTAAGGTCAAGAAGGCCTGCCAATTTGGACTGGTCTTCATCCATAATATAATCTTCAGCATATACAAGCTCATCCTCGAAAGAAAGTGACCGGTATACAACACCGAGAATCAAAATCTCCATCCAAGCACTCTGCAGAAGGCTCATCTGGTCAGCTAGAGACAAAGTGGAGAATCCTGAAGAGGAAAAAAAGAAATACAGGAGAAATATTCAGCACATGTAGATTTGTCAGAAATCTGCTCCTTTCTTTGATTTATTTTTATATACACTGTGATAAAACATGCTTTTTTGTGCCTCTCCTCCCCATCCTCCTACAGGAAATAAAATCAATATAAAATCAAGTGTTTTCTAATCAACACAAAAAGTTATAAACAAGTTGGAATTTGCAGGCTCTTTCTGTAAGAATCGTAACACCCTGGGGAGTACTGCAGTGACACTCTGTGACTTGTATGATGTCTTCTTTGTTCCAAAATACTCATGCTTACTTCTAAAACCTGATGTTGTGCAACAGGGATCAGATGGCTCTTGTTTATCATTACCATAATGTGCAAGAAAGATAATTTAGGAGAAGAAAAAAAAAACAAACCAAAAACCAACACTTTTTTTACAAGGGAAGATTTGATGTTTTAAAAGAATTAAGGTGATTACCACAAAGAGGAAAACTCTTTGAACTTTAGCCTCAAGGG